AGTTGATAAAAAAAAAGAAGACTTTTCTTTTCGTTTTTGACTTTTCTTCGAACCATCTTTCAAACTTCATATCTTTCTCGATTCTTGACAGTTCTACTTCATTCTTTCGCCATTCTCTTCACCTCACTTCCTACTTCGCCCTACACTATCCCGGTTTCTCACTTCTTCGTGTAATGGGCGGTTTTGATATGCTGAAAGTTGTCCGAAAACTAATTTCAAAATTTTCATCTTTTGTTTCTTTCTTATCCATCTTCCTTATTCTTCTTTTTTTTCTTCACTTATAACATGATGTGGAACATGGTTCTAAGTGGTAACGAAATTGGTGATGGTGGTAGTGGTGGTCTAGCAATGGCAGTGGGTTTGGTGTTGTAAGGTGGTAGTGATGGTAATGCTCATGGTGGTGGTAATGGAGCTTGATGGCAATGAAGTTAGTGGTTTGGGTGGTGATGTTGGTGAAGTTGATGGTTGAGATTGTATATGCCCTGAAGAATATCACTTTCAACAATGTCATTCAAGCACTTTGTGTCGTGGGAAAAGAGGAGGAGGCATTGTCGATATTAGTCCTCATGCGTCGAGAAAGTTCAGTCCTCACAAAGATTTCTCTCAACATTTTGATTAGTGAGTTCAATCGACAAGGCAGGTTGTTGAGTGCTTATAATGTGTATGGTGCTGTGTTGAAAATAGGTGTAATTTCGGAGAGAGAGCCTAGAGGATATTCAACTGAGAAAAAAACTCTTATTTGGCATGTTTAAATTCATATTATGATAGAGCATCCATAACAAATAAAGAAATTAATAGGTGCTCATTAATTTGTAATTCAACATCAATGGCTATAACAACAAAACCTTTCTTCTAATACAAAATCAGCTATTTGCTATGGGATTTTTCTTAACAATACAAATTTCTTTTGTTCTTGGCAAAACAGTTGAGGTTTGCATCTCATTTACGATCCAAGTTTAAATGGGCACGATGTTCCATTCAAATGGACTAAGAAAATTCTAGTAGGAAAGATGATATGTATGTATATAATTGAAGAAGAAGAAGAAGATCACTACCTGAACCACCAACTTTACCGCCACCGAACTCCATTATCGTCTCCACTACCATCACTAGTTCTGTTACCACCTAGAACCATGTTCCACATCATGTTACAAGTGAAGAAGAAGAAGAAGAAGAAGAAGAAGAAGAAGAAGAAGAAGAAGAATGAGGAAGATAGAAAAGAAAGAAACAAATGATGAATGTTTTGAAATTTCGAAATTAGTTTTCAAACAACTTTCGGCATATCAAAACTGCCCATTATACAAAGAAGTGAGAAAGCGAGGAAGTGTAAGGCGAAGTAGGAAGTGAGTTGAAGAGAATGACAAAAGAATGAAGTAGAACTGTCAAGAATTAAGAAAGATATGAAGTCCGAAAGATGGCTTGAAGAAAAGCCTTTTTTTTTTTTATCAACTTTTGGAGTTCCGATAACATGCAAAAAGAGGAAGAACGAGATGTGTGTGATGTGATACGAAAACTAGACCGTGAGTTGAATCCAATAATGTAAAAATGAGGCGAAACAGAGTTATGACGAAGGAGATAGAAGGGCTTGAAGTGGTGGTTGATAGTGGTGATTTGCTGGTGGAAAAGGGTGGGTCTGTGTCTTTCTTTTGAAATTTGGAGCCAAAATGTATTTTTTTTAAACCTTTTCCGTTTCAAATCTGACGGCAGGGGCAAAATTGATAGTAACTTAAATAGTATAGGGCTACGCGTGAAAATAAGAGTAGTCTGGGGAGTCATTGAAAATCGTAACAAAGTATAGGGGTAAAAATGAAATAATCTCTTTTTTTTTTATTTTATTTTAATACCAATCCAACTCAATATAACCAAAAGGTTATCAAGTAAATTGTCAAATGTCAATAATAAATACATATAAGAAAATCACGCATTATCAAAATTATTTCATTACTTTTTTTTTAATTAAAAAACTATTTAGTTTGATTTTTTTTTTAAAATGACAAAATTAAGCCTTAAATTTTCCACACAAAAATACCAAATATTAACACTTGCCATTTGATAAAAGAATTTCTAAATTAAAAATACGATAGAATATCTAAACTATTTTTCAATTAAAAACATAAACAAAATATCTAAACAAATTGAAAATATAAAGTCTTACAAATTACTAGGGGTGCTTGCGGTTTGGTGATTTGGTGGTTTGGTTGCGGCCAAAAGAATCTCAAATCCGTCATCCGTCCAAAATTAGGCCGATTGGAAAAATCAATCTGCAACCGTTTGTTCGTCATCACGCATCCATCCAAAATGCGATGGATCGGTTCAGTTCGGTCGGTTTGAGTAGATCATAATATCTGCTGAGCACCCCTAATAAACACTAAAAAAATAGAGAATAAAAAGAAGAAGAAAAAGAAGACATGTGCTTGCTTCTACTGCTAATATTCTCATTTTTGCATTATTCCATGTAACAGGGAAGATGAAGTAGTAGAAGAAGGAGAACAATAATAACATAGAGTGAAGAAGAAGATGTAGAGGGAAAAAAAAAGGAGAGTAAGAAATTGAGTCGAAAGGAGGAAAAAGAAAAAAAAAAAAACAGAGGGCAAAGAAGAAGAAGAAGAGAAAGAGAGAGAGTCGAAGTCGAAGAAGCAAAAAAAATAAAAATAAATAAAGAGCAAGTCAATGAAGTAGGAAAAAAAACAAGTATAGCAACGGAGAAGAAAGGGAATGAGGAGGAGGAAAAGAAAAAGAAGAGAAAAAAAAATACCCAACAACCAACGAAGAAGAAGAAGAAGAAGAGGAAGAAGAAGAAGAGGAACTGACCTCAATCGAAGTCGAAGTCGAGAGAGACAAGCCCAGAGGAAGAGAGGACACAAATTTCTTCGATAGATTAGGGATTTGAGTCAATTGATTTGGGTTGAGTTGTATTATATGAGTTGTAATCCTATTGGGTTGGAGCCTTTCGAACACAGATCAAAGCTGTTAGATCAGAATCAGAAACACACAAAAAAGCCGCGCCTTACTCTTTTTAGCACCTGGCCAAGTTGTGGCCAAGTCGCGTGACTCATTAAATGCGCATTGCCTTGGGTCTCTTCAGGTGCACTCCTTACACCTCGTTGCGTCTTGTGCCTAGGCGTACCTTTCACAACACTACCCATATATATACATATAATATAGTTGATCTCTTTATTTTGTGAATTTGACTCAATTTCATGCATTATGAGTACATAGTCGCTTGAATCACAAATTCATAGTGAATTGCAAGATTCACTTAGGACTCGTTTGGGAACCCTCTCTTTTAGTCAAAAAGTCAAAAAGTTACTAAATTAGCCAAAAAGCCAACAACTCATACCAAAAAATCAAAGGTTCTCTTTTCTCTCTACTTTTTGCACATCTTTTCGTAAAAAGCCAAAAAGTCATCCCAAACATACTAATTTTTTTTAGCTCATATTTTAGCCAAATAGTAAAAAAGTTACTAAATTAGCCTGTTTCCAATGTTTAACTATACAATTTAATTTTTTTTGTTTGAAACTTGTATCGAATTATATGAATCAAATCGTCAGATTCTAACCATACAAGATAAATGTTTTTGTATTGTCTTTCTTATTCTTATTTTGTAGAACTCCAGTTGTCCAAAAAAAAAAAAAAAGAAGTTAATTACACCAAGATCCTTTTAATTATTAGCAAATATCATTTTGACCACCTCATCTATGAACCATACCTATTGACCCCTCAGCTATAAAAATCGTACAAATACACCCCTTTTGAAGGTGATCTGGAGGGGTGAAAATGATGCATTTTTATAGCTAAAAGGGTCAAAATGCACAAGTTCATAGATGACATTGTCAAAGTTATATTCACTAATAATTTCGGGTCTTGGTGTAAATAATCCGAAGAAAAATAATAAAAATAAAAAAAATCTAACTTTCAGTTTTCCACGCGTGCTAAATCTGAAATTGAAGCACTAAATTGCAGACTAAGCCCCTGGACTCTATAGAGTGCTGCTTCAGACATAGTACTTTTGGTTGGTATTGGCTGCTCAACTTTTGGAGCACAGTTTATTGCACAGCTTTTGGCTCTTGATAATACTCCTCTCAAAGAATATCATAGTCACTCTAACCTTGAATTGAACTTTTTGCCAAATCATGCCTTGAGATTGCTTGATTTCTTCTCACTTTTTCATTTTTTCTATTTCGATACGACCATATGATTGCTTTGGGTTCTTCAAAAAAATAATGGCTAAAAGATTATTTGATCAAACAATGTGGCTGAAGGAGGACTTAACAATTGCTGCCCAAGGAACAATTGGGTTGGTCTAGATGAAGCTGAGGGCTATGTGCCCGGGGCAATTTTTCTTTGGCCTTTTGTGAGTTTGCAGCTTACTTTGCATTTTTTGGATAGTCCTTAGTTGTTCCTTGTTTTGTACCAAAACCCTTTGGTAAATCACTATGTCAATGGCCAATCTAATTCCTTGTTTGAATTAATGTTCTTGTACTACTTATGCTGTGTTTGGTTGTGGGATTTGGGGAGGGATTTGGAAAGGGAAATGGAAAAGGTAGGTGAAATGTGAATAAAACATGCCTATATTTCACCTAGTTTCACACACCTTTTCCCTTTTCCTTTCCAAATCCCTTCCCAAATCCCCCAACCAAACACAGCATTAATCTAGAGTAGAAACTAGTCAATGGCCAAATGGTATTTTCTCTTGAAGTGATTACATACAAATAAAAAATTCATATAAATACGATTCAATGGTATAACCTTTTACTTTAAAATAAAACATTTATAAAGATATTTATATTTGTAATAATGTCACTACCACATCATTAAAAACTAAAATGGTACAAGGGATGAAAAATAGACTCTTTATTCACATTTTTTTTTAAAACCTTTCTAGGAAGCAAAAATAATTTTTGAAATGATCTTTCTGGTGAGTTAAAGTCATTCATGCCAAAACATACAAGATGAATATATAATTATTTCAAAGAAGGCAGACTAATGTACAGAGATACTGTCAAACCAACACAATCAATGAAAATAACAAAGAAACAAAGAAGAGTTGTAGATATTATTACAAGGAAGGATACAACAAAACTCAATCCCATATCAGATTTAACATAATCACTCACATATGTAATTTTCACTCTTACACTACAATTCCATGTGTTGTACCTTTTAGAGCATCATTTGCATGTTTAACACGGGCAGTTCCAGCTCTGAACCGCCTTGTCCTCGATTTCTTTTTCCTCGCCAATTTCTTTTCCAAATCCTTCCCTCTACTAGAGAGGTTAGATATCGCAGTCAACTGTTCTGTCCCAGTTTCAATCAATTTCTCCATTATCTCCCTCATTTCTTGTTCTCTTCAACCAACTTTTCATCACTTTCTGAACCCATTTTGCTTCCCAAAGAGACTTGACTGTAATTTGGAGACATTGGGAAAAGCTCTCCTTCAACCTGAGGTAGCTCCTCTGCATCGGCAGGAACAAACTGAGTTGCGATCAGGGCTTCTTTAGAGGTTTCAGACCCACAAAGCTGTTCAGTGACTTTATCATTGCCAGCAACCGATACAAGCTCTTTAAAATTCAAGCCTGTCCCCTACAATCTCTTGGTTTTCTGATTCCTCGTTACATTCCTTGGTTTCCTTGATATCTTGCCTGGAACAATTATCTTCATCATTAGTTATTCCACTGTCGTCGTTTTCTTGTCCCAGTGCAGGTGAAAGACCTGGCCAAGTTTCCTCTGTTTTTGAAGCTACTCCACAATGGGTTTCATTCTCTAGAGGTGAAAACTCAGCATGAGGTTCCTCTGGTTTACAAGCTTCTCCATCATGAATTTCATCCTCTGCAAATGCGAGTTGTGGCTGAGGTTTCTCTGGTTCAGAAGTATCCAAGAGCTCATTGGTATTGTTTTTTTCTTCTCCATGTTTTTGTACTGTGAACTCCTCTATTTTGAGCCTAGCATCCTCAATGGGTGCATTCCCTAAACCAATCTCATCATCTGCCCTGGAGATTTTCACATTCTCATTAACATGACCAACTTCTTTTTGTGCTTCCTCTTGTTCAACCATCACATCCTCATGACCTTCAAAATCGCTCTCTTCTCCAATTTCATGCTTCAGATCTACAATGACTGACGCATCATTAAGAGCATCAAGTGTCTGCTGTACTTGATTTGCCTCTGCAATTGATGTGGTTATGCCAATTGCTGATTGAGACTCAACTTCGCCTTTGCCTTGTAGGACCTCACAGTTCCCTATTTCAATTAGCTCATGCCTCGGAGACTGTTCGATAACAAGTTCCTGATTGAACTCTGGTGATGCTGCCAACTGATCACCCAGACAAGAAGGCATTGTCCCCACCACTGCAGAGTCTACATTCTCTTCTGCAGCAGATGGCATTGGTTCAACAAGTAACTTGAGCTCTGAACCATCAGTTTGAGCCTTCAACATCATCATTTCACCATCATCAATCACTTCATTGTTCAAATCATCTTTCAGTTTATCAACTAGCTCGTGACTGCTTTGCAGTGGAGATGCTATAATTTTATCTTCAGATTCCTCGCATGCTTCTTTCTTAACCAACTTCATTTCTGAAGTTTCCATAATTTGGGAGCCAGATGTTGCTTCGGTGATATTGGAAATTTGACATTGACTAGGCTCTACTAAATCAGATATGTTACTGTGATTACTCTGAGTCTCAGCAAAGCTGTTTCCATTTCCCGTTTCTTCAAAAGAAGAATCTCCTTTGGCGTTCATAGAAAGATCTTCCACAAGTTTCACATTTGACACTTCGGATTTATTGGTAGGTAGAGAATCAAGTTTCTCTTGCAGGCTCACAAGCTCCTTTGCCACGGATTTCCTAAAATTCCTGACCGTTGGGTGCAAGCCCTGGTAAATCAAATGCAGATTAAGATCATTCTGATTATTTCATAACCAGAAAAAATAAGGGCCATAGGAAAAAGAGAAGATAAATTTTCCCAAAAACACTGAACAAATCCCACAAAGCTGGTTGTCTAGATGTATTTAAGAGTCCATCAACTACAAACATACAACAGATGGCAAACGACTTGACAATCATTTTACATGATACCAATATATGCATGGAACTTGTATTCATGTGCATGTTTAAGCTTGGACGCATTCTTAGAAAATATGAGGAAGAAGAACTCCGAAAATATGAGGAAGAAGGAATATATTTGTGTTATATTCAAAACTTCTTATCTTACAAGACCAAATGACACTCCTTATATAGGAGATATTACAAACATCATTATAACCCATTATATGCCACTTACATATTATATATTACCACTATCTACCACTATCATATTATATACATGCCACTATCTACCACCAACACCACTATCATATTCTATACATGCCACTATCCTTCACCAACACCACTATCATATTATACGCAAACAAATTTAGTAATTACTTTTTACTAAGTGAATCATGTATCTAATTCATTTACATGAATTTTTAAACTACAGCAAACATATAATTGTGACATTTGGCTTAACATCCTTAGCCATCTACTAATAAATATACATATCGTTTTCATTATTCATTTAATTTTTTGGGAAACTTCTATAAAATCATCTATATCTATATCTATACTATTATATATGTCAAGGCTTTTAATGTTGTTGACGTCTCATATTTTTGGTTTTCCAAAAATGCCCCTATAGTTGGTGTCTCATGTAAAAATTATAATAAGAGGATAGGACTCGAAACAGGGATCATGGCACTTGAACAACACATACTATGTGTGAATTTTTCCATCATTATTCTTATAATATTATTTTTTTAGAATTGCACATATCGCGTGTGTGGTCCAGTTCTTAATAATTATACATTTTTTTTAAGAATATAAGATGTTAACGTCAAATTCTCAAACTTTGAAAGTCATATGCTAGCAAATATTGAAGAGTGTCGGTCTCACATTTATTTTTTTGATGATAGACATGGCCAAGAAATGACAGACATGACCAAGAAATGACGGACATCACAAAATGAGTGTCGAACACGTGCCCAAAAATAAGATTTTTATTTTTAATTAAGAACATAGAAAAAAAGAGTATTGAATACATGTCCAAAGAGTGTCGTTGTCCGAGTGTTCTACACGGACACGTAACATTTTTAGAAGTTTCAGTGTTTCTTGGCCACCTAGTTATATTTTTCTGTGGATTGAGACTGTGATTTATACAATTCATATGTATGCCGCTTTTGAGTTTTGTATGTATTTGAGGCTTGACATGTAATCTATCTAATATTCTTTTTGGACTTGTAGTGTTAGTACGCAAATATTTAAGTTTTGGGAATTGTGGGCTTACTCATAGCTTTTGAAGCCTACATGTGGAAGTATAATTTTGTAACCGGACTTGAACTATCCTTGATATTTTAGCATTTTATCCCAAGTAATTGATATGCAACTCAACACAACACTTAACTTTTATTCAAATCTGCCTATTATTTATTTTTGCCAATTATTAAACGTTTTCAGCGTTGTTTATCCCCCGGCCAAAGTGCTCAAACATGAGGGCCAACACACATACACGATGTAATATGTTAAGACCTAAACACTTAAGCATCAAAGGATATCCTTTAAGCACACTTCAAGGGGAATAATCACGAACATATGGTTTGCTCCACAGACCGCATAGGAAAGTTCAACGGAGCAAAACCAGAGGCGCTTGGTTGAGGTTCACTGGCCACCGCACCAGTTATCTCTCTTTTTGACTCGTTGAGGTCGGGAAAGAGAGTGAGCAGACCACGGGACGAAGAGGCCATATTCTGGGTAGCTGAACGGGAAGACGAGGCCATGTTATGGGTTGCTAAGTGTTTCAGAAAAGGGTTGGTTACAGAGTGTTACAGAGTATCTCTCTCAAGACAACGAAGAGTTTCTCAGAAGTTTTTAGCCAGTTTTTTGTCTTAGCCTCTGCCTCAGCCTCAGCATCCGTCTTGGTTAAATAGACAGGGCAGACACGCGCATCGCGCGCCACTTGACGCCAGACGACAAAACGGGCGCGCAAGCCAAAGCGCTCACGTGCCTCGCCATCATGTCCGGCACACCTTTTTATGGATTGGGCACGCCTTTTGATGGCACGCCTTTTGATAGATTGGGCACGACTTTTGAGGGTGCGATATATATATCTTTTGGGCTCCCATGGTCTGACACGACCACACAGTGTCTGCTACATCGGTCCGGCATGACCCCATAAACTGTCCCCACATTGATTCCGGTTAGCTTCTACATCAGTCCGGCATGACCTTGTAAACTGTCCCGACAATGATTCCGGTTAGCTCCTACAACGGTCCGGCATGACCCCGTAAACTGTCCCGACATTGATTCCGGTTAGCTCCTTCATGAGTCCGACAAGACTCTGTAAACTGTCCCGACATTTGATTCCGGTTAGCTCCTTTATGGGTCCGACAAGACTCTGTAAACTGTCTCGACATTGATTCCGGTTAGCTCCTTTATGGGTCCGACAAGACTCTGTAAACTGTCCCGACATTGATTCCGGTTACTTTCTACAAGGGTCCAGCAAGACTCCGTAAACTGTCACAACATTGTCTGCTACAACGGTCCGACATGACCCCATAAACTGTCTTCTACATCGGTCCGACACGATTCAGTGTCTTCTACCATACAGTCTTCTACAACGGTCTGACACGACCATACAGTGTCTCCTATCCATTTTTTATTTTTCAGATTATTTTCTTGTTTTGTTACTCTCTCCAAACTCAAGTTGGTTAGTTCCTATCCCCCTTGAGTTTGCGGGGGGCTGTTAAAACCTACCATCACCTACTCCACCTACTACACCTACCACCACCTACTTCCACCTACTACACACCTACCACTACCACCTACTACCATCTACTCCACTACATCTCCTATATAAGGAGCCCCTCGCCATTTGTAATAGATAACACAACAATATCAATCAATAATACAATTCTCTTTATACATTGAATTTCAACATCTTCAGATTCCTCGCATGCTTCTTTCTTAACCAACTTCATCTCTGAAGTTTCCATAATTTGGGAGCCAGATGTTGCTTCGGTGATAATGGAAATTTGACATTGACTAGGCTCTACTAAATCAGATATGTTACTGTGATTACTCTGAGTCTCAGCAAAGCTGTTTCCATTTCCCGTTTCTTCAAAAGAAGAATCTCCTTTGGCATTCATAGAAAGATCTTCCGCAAGTTTCACATTTGACACTTCGGATTTATTGGTAGGTAGAGAATCAAGTTTCTCTTGCAGGCTCACAAGCTCCTTTGCCACGGATTTGCTAAAATTCCTGACAGTTGGGTGCAAGCCCTGGTAAATCAAATGCAGATTAAGATCATTCTGATTATTTCATAACCAGAAAAAATAAGGGCCATAGGAAAAAGAGAAGATAAATTTTCCCGAAAACACTGAACAAATCCCACAAAGCTGGTTGTCTAGATGTATTTAAGAGTCCATCAATTACAAACATACAACAGATGGCAAACGACTTGACAATCATTTTACATGATACCAATATATGCATGGAAATTGTGTTCATGTGCATGTTTAAGCTTGGATGCATAGTGTTCAAGATCCTATTCATTTTTAATATCTTATCAAGGTCACAAATTAAAGTCAAGAAATGACTATATTTCTCTTTAAATTCTCGGTAATCAGCATCAATAAGAAAGTTCACATCAATCTTATTCGTTTCTATAAATTTTTCTATCGAAGTTTCATTATAATTAAAGGTGAAAACAAATTTTGGATAGTTCCACGATGTGCAAAATGAAACATACAAGTGGAAGTTAAGCATGTACAAGACATATTGTATACATACCTGAATGGTGTCTAGTTTTAGCAGAAGGCTCATTATGGTTTCTCCAATTATCAACTTTTGCATGTCATCACTCCTGATATCAAATGAAGACTCTAAAGATTCAATTCGGCTTGTTATCTGAGCAGCATGCTCCTTCACTTCAACGATTTGCTTCAGTTTCTTCAATGGTTCCCATTTCCTGACCTCAAATCCATGATATGCAGACTGAATAATCACAGTTGCATCAGCCTCTGACAAGTTCTTCCTTTTCGCTCTGTCTTCTTCCTTAGGAATCTCATTTTCTGCCTTATTTGCTCCTTCATCATCTTCGGTCTGCAATTCACCATCACCCAAGTGACTTTCTACTGTTGCATCTGGTGCTTTGACTTCTTTGCCCTCTCTCACATCATCACATACTACAACTTTGCTAGTGTCTTGGTTCGTTGAAACATCTTCACCAGATTTAGGAAACAAATTCACTGGAGCTCCAATGGGAGTCTGAGCTTTGCAATCTTCACCAGTGTCTTGCTTTGTTATGCCATCCACTACCTTAACTACTTTTATCTTCCCTTTATTCGGCTCTACCTCCTCACTCTCTTTTATTGATGAGGTGGACTCGGACCTATCACCAAATGCTTCCTGTGCTTTTTCTTTGTGACTGGGACTAGGAGACCTCGAATCACCATGACTGTTTTTCCTCTTTGGCAAGGGGTCAACTCTCAAACAAACCGGAGGTAGCTTAGACGTCTTTTGTGGAGAAGGAGACTGTCTTTTAGTACCATCATCAGAAGGCTTCTTATCTCCACTATGTTCTATCTCCTTCACAGTAATGCCTCTGGCTTTTCCCTCACCTTCCTCGGTCTTCCCCGTATTGTGTAGCTCTTCCTGTTGCTTGACATCATTTGTCTTCCCATTGACATTGTTTTCCGTCGCCTTCAAACCAACCTTGCTGCTAGGAAGTTGTGCCGACGCAACCTTCAAATTGGGAGATGATCTTTCAGCAGATTCGTGATCCGCTTTTGCCTCTTTATCGCCCCTTGTTTCATCTTCTTCATGCTTGTAAGGCAACCAAAATATCGGAAATTGAAATTGATTCTTGTCCACGTTTGGTTGATCTTGAGCTCTATTTCTATCGCCATTTGGCTGATCTTGAACTTTGTTTCTATCACCTCCATGCTTCAGAGATCCCATGTTGTTGATGTCAAATGGAAACCACCCGCTCCTGACATTAGGCTCGTGTTCCAAATGTTCCAAATTTTCATGGGCTCTCATATCAGGAGGATACTCGTCCCCGTGCTTTAACTTTGGCGCAGTACTATCTCTTTGCTCTCTATTCTTCATGTCTTCTGGAGGAATCCATACAATTGGATATGGGTAATTTTTAAACTCAACGGAGACCAAAGAATGATTGCTTTTGTTTTTGACCTCTGGTTCCTGTTCTTCAATCTTTACATGCTTATCTTCTTTCTTATTGCACGAGTGATTAGGGCATCCACAACAGTGATTCTTTTTATATTCAAATCATGGCTGATCCACTGAATAATGTGCGAAAGGAACATAATGAACAGGATAGGTTTCTGGGAAAGAAGGATAACCTCCGTGACACTGAAACGGTGATGGCGATGGAAAATGAGGATAAGGAGGTCTGAAACCACCATAACTTGGGAAATGGTTATGGTTGCAACAACCATGACATCCCACAGGAATTGAACAACCATAGCTGCCACCATAAGGCCAGGTTTCATATGTTATAGGAGACTTAGATGGATCCACATTGACCTGAGGTGGATATGGAATACCTTCGAAGCTCGGATAATAATGCTGTGTATATGGCATTTGATTTCTCTGATGGGGAAACGAGTCCATGCATCTGTAGGCCGGATACATCTTATAAACCTTTTCGAATCGGAACCGCCTGCTAGTTTATTTCTTCAAGAGTGAAAATCTTTCTCACACACTGAACAAAGAGAAGAAAAAAAAAAAAGTAAATTAATTTATAGATAATAATACACACATACTACCTGTAAAAGTATCCTTATGAGCAACAGATTTTTCAGAAGAAGATTATTTAACTTATTTTCCTTTCAACAAGAAGTAAACAGAATATGATAGCAATAAGAATAGGTTTTCAATTGACAAATAGAATAAAATCTCACATGGAACCAAAAACAAAAATAATATAAGAAAATCAATTATGTATTAACCAATCCCCTATGTATTAACCAACTGCCCTTTGGCACAATTACAGAACAAAATCAAACCAACAAAATTGGATTTCATTAATTCACTTACTCTCTATTTATGCTCATCTTGTCCTCTTCTTTTTCTTCCCCCTAATTTCTCATTCACTTGCCTACTCCCCTTCACTCACTCTAATAATAAACCAGGCAATCATCACCCCCACCATCATCTAAAGAAACCCTCTTTAGCATCAAATTAATAGACCCAATCCCTTCCCACTTATAACTTATATTCAATGTGTTAAATATCCCTTTCTCCAAGTTGATGACTAATATGATTCAACTATATGTGATGATGTTCTCTGTTGTTTTGTACATCAACTAAACATATAAATAAATATAGATCTACATATCATTAAATTTACATATGTAACACAATAAAATAAAACACATTAGCAAATAAGAATCCAAATTTAGAGAAACTGCAAACAAAAATCAGAGCTGGAATATACATATCATTAAATTTACATATATAACACAATAAAATAAAATAAATTAGCCAATAAGAATCCAAATTCAGAGAAACTGTAAAAAAAAATCAGAGCTGGAAGTGTTTTCACATAAACTAGCAAACAGCTTAAGTCTTGAACCAGACTAGTCCAAATTGCAGCTTTCAAAAACTGGCCTTTTCAGCAACTTCTTATAAAACAAGCATTAAAAATTCTTTAAATTTAAAAAATGACCAAGATGGATGCTTTGAAAACACAACAGAATTTGAGCCAGTTGGAGCCTATGTTACACGGACTCTTCTATTTCCCCCAGAGTACCCGTGTCCACCGGATATGACAAGGGTAAGGGTGTAAGATATGTGTCCGACACTCGTACCCAATTTAGACACTCAGATCCTTTAATTTGTGACAATACATGAAGAAGAAGAAAATCACATATGTTAGTAAAGTAATATTTTTAGCTTCTCACATGAATTAGATATAAAAATTTCATATTTTTTCTCAATCATATTTAATTTTAATATATTTCTACATAATTTAAAACATCTCATCCGAAAATATTATATAATATGCAATATATATGTGCATATGACGTGTCCCCGTACCCATATCCAATTTTACTGCCCTTTGGCACAATTACAGAACAAAATCAAACCAACAAAATTGGATTTCATTAATTCACTTACTCTCTATTTATGCTCATCTTGTCCTCTTCTTTTTCTTCCTCCTAATTTCTCATTCACTTGCCTACTCCCCTTCACTCACTCTAATAATAAACCAGGCAATCATCACCCCCACCATCATCTAAAGAAACCCTCTTTAGCATCAAATTAATAGACCCAATCCCTTCCCCCTTATAACTTATATTCAATGTGTTAAATATCCCTTTCTCCAAGTTGATGACTAATATGATTCAACTATATGTGATGATGTTCTCTGTTGTTTTGTACATCAACTAAACATATAAATAAATATAGATCTACATATCATTAAATTTACATATGTAACACAATAAAATAAAACACATTAGCAAATAAGAATCCAAATTTAGAGAAACTGCAAACAAAAATCAGAGCTGGAATATACATATCATTAAATTTACATATATAACACAATAAAATAAAATAAATTAGCCAATAAGAATCCAAATTCAGAGAAACTGTAAAAAAAAATCAGAGCTGGAAGTGTTTTCACATAAACTAGCAAACAGCTTAAGTCTTGAACCAGACTAGTCCAAATTGCAGCTTTCAAAAACTGGCCTTTTCAGCAACTTCTTATAAAACAAGCATTAAAAATTCTTTAAATTTAAAAAATGACCAAGATGGATGCTTTGAAAACACAACAGAATTTGAGCCAGTTGGAGCCTATGTTACACGGACTCTTCTATTTCCCCCAGAGTACCCGTGTCCACCGGATATGACAAGGGTAAGGGTGTAAGATATGTGTCCGACACTCGTACCCAATTTAGACACTCAGATCCTTTAATTTGTGACAA